GAGGCAAGATACTGATTTGATTATACTTTTTTGTGTTTTTCTGTTGGCCAGCTGGAGTGAGTAAACACTGATTGATTCATAGTGTTCTATGTGTTTCAAGGTCAGGAGAAGGGAAGATTGTTGTAAATCAGTTTCAGACTACTTTGTGAAAGATTGAAGAGTGAAAAGTTTGGTGGTCTGGAATTGCTCTAAGTCAAAATAAGAAAAAGCAATTATTTATATACCTCAATTTCTCACTATTGTTGCAAGAGTGAAACATATTTCAATCAATGAAACATGTTTCATTTTTTGTTCATATATTGTATTGCATGGATGGTTGCTGCTATGTCAACTGGCATTTCCTCTACCATTTTAAAACTAACTCAGATAATGCAATGTGAAAAAAGATATGCATGACTTTCTTTATCTCAGCATTTATTTCAGTGGAGAGCACAGCCTGAGAAGGCCTCCATTTCAGCCCACAAGAGGGATTCAAGCCTTTTAAACTTTCCCATCTGCTTTCCCCATATTCTCCCATGAATGTTGTGCTCCTCACAACCTGGTAAAGGTTTGTTTATCATATTTGACATACACAAAAGTAGTGAGATGCATCCTTTGCCCCTCATGTTAGGGGTTTTGTTTTCTCTCTTGAATATTTATGACTGTGGAGATAAATATAACTTTGATGTATGAAGTGTTACTATAAATCTCTGTACTCTAGACACCCAGCCCCACATTCATGAAATAGTAGCGAAAAGGTAAACACAGAATATAGAACTGTAGTGATAGATCAATTACAGGGAGACAGAGAGAGATGGTAGATTAGTTAAAAAGATGAGAGAGATGATGATGATAGCAATAGCACTTAGACTTATATACTGCTTCATAGTGCTTTTACAGCCCTCTCTAAGGGATTTACAGAGTCAGCATAATGCCCCCAACAATCTGGGTCCACATTTTACCAACTTGGGAAGGATGGAAGGCTGGAGTCAGCCTTGAGCCTGGTGAAATTTGAACTGCAGCTAACAATCAGCTGAAGTAGTATGATGATGATGATGATGATGATGATGATGATGATGATGATGATGATAGGGAGGGAAGAGGGAGAGAGATTATAGATTTAGTTACCCTTGAGACTGGTAGATACCTAAGGACATAAGTCTGATCCAAGGAACATTGGTTTCCTCTTCATCAACTTCCGCCCTTACAGTATGGCTATGTAAGAGCAAGAGAGAATGACAAAGTCAGGGAGGCAGTTTGAGTTGCCCCACTAGCCTACAGATGGCTCTAGACATCTTCCACTCCAAGGGGGTAGAAAGTTTCCCATATTATGAATATAATTATGATATTCAATATCATTCTGTTTTTTAAAAAAATTCTATTGCATTTAAAAGTGAACACTAGTATCTTAAATTGTGTATAGTAAACAACCAATGTAGATCTTTAATTTCATGCATTATGCAATCCTTTTACCTGTACCAGCTAGCTGCCATATATTGCATTATATGATTCCTGGACACTTTTCAGTGGTAACACCATTGCAGTAATAAAACTGTTGTTACTACAGTAGATGTAATGATGCAGAAGCACTCCTAAGTTCTTTCCTATGAATCCAGTATCAAATGAGGATCAGGGAGCACTTCCAGACTTCAGATCTCTTTACTTGGTGTTGATCCTCGGTCCTACCAACACCTGCCCTCAATTCTACATTAAAACCAATTTACAGGTAGTCCTCGACTTACAAGCATGCATATAGTGACCATTCAAAGAAACAACAGCACTGAAAAAAACTGACTTATGACTGTTTTTCATGCTTATGGCCATTGTAGCATCTCCATGGTCAAGTGATCAAAATTTGGATACTTGGCAACAAGTATTTATGGCGGTTGCAGTGTCCCAAGGATCACTTTTTGCAACCTGCTGACAAGCAAAGTTAATGGAGAAATCTAACATAACAACTACAGTGATTCCCTTAACAATGGTAGCAAGAAAGGTCATATAATGGGGCAAAACTCACTTAGCAACTGTCAAGCTTAACTATGGAAATTTGGGGCTCAATTGTGATTGTAAGTCAAGGACTACTCTATAATGTGGCTAATGCTGGAGTTTTTTTTCTTAAAGAACGTTTCCACTTTGGACCCTAGTTAGATATGAAATGTATGCATGGTCCATTGACAATGGTAAATATGTACCCTTAGAGGTTTACCCTATTTTAAAAAAAAATTAGGAGTGGCGTCAGAAAAATAAAGGCTACAGTTTCTGAGTTTCAGAAAACAAATACATAAATCTGTTACTATGTGTTTGTTTGCAATAACAAAAGTAGGCTTTGTTTAGTAGACTTGAGTTTCAGCATACATAACAAACATCCCTATCAGATTAGCATTTTCTATTCCATATTTGAGAAGGAGGGGAAAGACTTGTTAGTGGGAGTGGCCTTCCAGAAGCACATGTAGGGGGTGACTTCCTAGCATTAGGTTAGAAGTGAACATTGGGGACTTGTCATTTCTGCATCAGCTTTCTCTGATCTGAGGACCCTCCAATGTATGGTAATAGCCATACTGGCTGGGGGATTTTTTTTACACACACACACACACACACACACACACAAGATTCAAGGGAACTGGTTTTAAAGAAATGTCCACGTGGTTCTAATTTAAAACATAATTTAGCATATATATTGTAATCCCTATTGTGTTCAGAGAAAATACTTTTCCATTTCTGCTGATTGGCAGCTCACCCAAATGGCAGGTGACACGTGGCTTCATTTTTGACTCAAGTAAAGGGAAGGGAAGTGAAAAGGGACTTATTTCTGCTGTAGTTTGAATATTCCACTTATCATCTACTGACCTGTATCACCTTTGGTCAAAACAGGAGTACAGGAAACTCTTCTGTGGGTTGGTTCAAACAGAAATCCTTTTGAACTTTGGAAAGGAATTTAATTGGCTTGAGTTTGATTAATAAACATGGCTTTATTTGTAGTGAGTTCCTTGGTCTGTTTTGATTTTTGAATTCTTCTTCATTGGGACCCTGAAATGTAAAGCGATATTGGGTTGTCTGTTTAGGTTCACTCTGAGCCTTGGCTTACAGTAAATACGAGTTTTGTCCTACCAAAGTATCACTTTACACAAATCTGCCATTGTGAAGCTCAGCAAATAAACCTTTCTAGCATATAAACCCCAAACTGCTGATTTGTTTACTGTTAAATATTTACTGTGAAGCACTGTGGACTTTTAAGAACTGGTTATTCTAGTTTGTCTCTTCCAGCAAATGCTGTAGTTTGTAAGATCTTTCTTATTTTTAGTCCCCTTGTCTGTGCTACATCTTTGATTAGGCAGGAAGGACTAACGTGAGCTCTAATCTTTAACACACACATAATATAACTGTATTTTCAAAATAAATAGCAATGCATTCTGGTGGGAAAAGGGAACACAGAACTAATCTTCTGTATATTTGAAGTCAGTTAAACTGACTGAAGAGAACTGAACTTACCATCTCTTTGGAAGAACTGGTCAATCAAAGATATATTAATAGCCTACAAATTTCTATAGTCTTAGGCAATGGGTAGCATTTTTATAAATGGAATAAAATAGTTACTTTAGGATGTTTCACTTTCAGCACAAAGTGAATTAATTTTATCAGAATGTCCAAAGCAGACGAACAGCAACTTAAAGCTTTCTATCACCATATCCTTGCTTTAGCATTCTCTTTCGTTAACATGCTCATAATAAATTAAACTCGATTAGTTCTTTTGCTAGATAATTTGGTAAGGTAAAATTAAGCTGCCTCTACCTAGGGAGCTTCATAGCTAGACAAGCATCTTCATCCAATTTTTGGTAATCAAATTCAATTCTGCCAGCTATGCCATGTTAATATGCCAATAACCTTAAAATTGTATGTGTTTGTAGTAAAAGTTCTTGTAGGGCTGAAGAAGAAGACATCTTTATTACGGTCAAAGGCCAGCAATAGACATTACATTTTTACAATATATTAAAAAAGTACTGACATTAAAAGTGGATAATAGCATCCCTGTTGAGAAAATACATGCTCTCAATCTATTCGAGTCACTCCTTGGTTTACGTGGGTGAAAAGCCGAAAGTTATGGGAGTAGATATAATGGTCCCGAAATTGTTAGAGATATCTAAATAATTGGTACAAGATGACAACTATAATTCTGTAAGCATTTTTCTCCTTGTGGACATTGCAGCAACACAGAATTTTGCCGCTGCATACGTGGTAGCTGGGTTTGTGTCCTGGAGGAGAAAGCCTATATACAAATTGTCTGCCCTTCCTGGCAATCTCTCTAATAAGGGGGGAATATGTGCAGACCTACAAGCTCTGCATAGCTCACAGTGTATGTTGACTGGAAATGGCTTCTACATCTGCCATTCTGGTTTAACACAACTTATTTGCTAGGTAGATGGGTCTGTGTCACCACTACATTTGGAAACAGCTATATATTATGTGGTTTTATTAAAAACACTCTCATACCGACATCCAGACAACTAAAGTATAGCGGCATAAGCCATGTGTCATATTGGCCTACATATATCATAGGACATAACTGTAACAATAAACAAGGGTTCCTATTAATACTAGGGAATCTAATTGGAAGCCCACAAACAAGACATCAGCACAATGGCAATTTTCCTGCCAGGTTCCCTATCAGTTCTTGACCAAACTATAGATAGACTATATGGATGGATGGGTGGGTGGATGGATTATGAATTTGCTTCCTTAGTAGCCTGGAAATTCTATATGATGTATTCCAACCATATCCAAGATACAGGATGATAGTGATAATCACAGGATTCATGCTTAATGGAAGAAGCAAATAAGACACATTATTACATTTCTTCCACATCTTGTTGCAAACATGGAACTACTGCATTTTTTTCTTTTCATGCCAAGCCATCAAGATTAGGATGCATTGTATTAAAATGTAAAATTCTACCATTCTTATCTACAGGAACCGTATTAAATGCCAATAATTATGCTGCTCTCCTTTTTTCTATTTTTAACAGCTTGCCCAAATTGATTCAAGAGCAGTACAGCTTGGTTCGCTGTTTGTCCGGGGCCTTGGTGTGTTGCTGATGACCAATAGTGCCTGTGGTTTTCCCTTTCAAATGGATGATTTGATGGCATGGCATGTATTTGATGGGAAACTTTTTCAAGAGAAATACCACCAAGCTCATAGAGGATGCCCTCCATATCAGCTCCTAGAACACAATGCAAGTATACAGTCTTGGTTTTAGATTGAGGAAAACCTTTTTGTACTTAAAAGGATGAATAAAATGTGTGTATATGTATGATGTATATATGACATTTAGCCCCTGCAGCCTCCTAGAGTTTCCTGACTAATGTTTGGTTAATATAGAGAAATGGACCTCAACTTTAGTCATAATTAGAGGTGACATAATTAATTGGTGGGACACAGGTTTGTCACAATCTTCTCTTAGCATTACTAATGAGGGTTTTAGAAGTGCTGTACAGTCATGGAATATTTGTAATTTCTTCAGATCAGAGGTGGTATTCAGCAGATTCTGACCAGTTCGGGAGAACTGTTAGCGGAAATTTTGAGTAGTTCAGAGAACTGGTAAATACCTCTGACTGGCCCCACCCCCATCTATGCTCTGCCTCCCAAGTCCCAGCTGATCAGGGAATGGGGATTTTGCAGTATCCTTCCCTGCCATGCCCACCAAGCCATGCCCACAGAACCAGCAGTAAAAAAAAAATGAATCCCACCACTGCTTCAGATACTTTGAAAAGTATTCTATGTTTTTAAATGATAGACTAAATTATCATTTCTCAACTATGGCAACTATAAAATGTTTGGACTTCAACTCTCAGAATTCCGGGAATTGAAGTTTGGAGATTTTAAAGTGGCTAAGATCAAGAAACACTGGCTGGACTATATAAATGCTGAAATGTTGATGCAAAGATAACTGTCAACTGAAGAGTTAATATTTTGATATTTCAAGATGTTTCATAAAAGTGAACAAAACACTTCCATATGAAATAACTCTTCAGTTGAAAAAGCCCAAACTTTTCTAAATTAAAACTAGCCTTTTAAGACACCAGAGGCTATTTGCACATAGTTCAAAATCATAATTCAGTAGTTGATGAGTGAATCTAAGATTCATGCTCACAATTTCAATCTTTTCCTTATGCATGAGGAAGATTTTTTTAAAAACTATTGAGTTTTGATTCATTCTATCAGGTTTGTCTTGACTTGGGCATTTAAGAAAGAAGGACCCTTGACTCCCTTTTTGAAGTGAAAGTTTTACTTTTAGTAAAGTCAAGCAGTTACAGCATAGGTGAAGCAGGATCTGAATATTCCCATGCAAAGCCTGCATTTTCCCCTCTACCCTGGCCCTCCCCCCTTGACTAGTCCGTCAGTGTCCAATGATATTCAAATTAGATATTTTGGAAATGGCTTTGAGATGTGGCACCTCTTTGCTGGATTCGCATTCCATTCTCACGGCTCCATCCTTCATTGGCCAGTCTGTTCTAGTTTGACACCTCTGGTTCCTGTCATCCCCCTTTCTACCTTCTACCTCCCCAATCTCCCCCTCCCTGTATTTTATGGCAGGATGCCAGTGAAGCAAAGTATGCTGAAGATGGCAGACCTGACACATTCATAATTAGACCTATTTTTAAGCTATTTTTTAAAAATGAAGTCGTACCTTGAATTGGATGTACAGAACATGGGAAGAGAAAAGTAGACAAGCTGCTTTAGTCTAATCCAGTGTTTCTCAAACTTGGGAACTTTTAAGTTTTAAAAAGCCCATGTTGCCTAAGGAATTCTGGGAGTTAAAATGTCCCCCCATTGTCACACCCGGAAGCCATCTTTTACCTTTTGGACTTCAGGCCTGCCACATTTTTTACTATGGGAAAATACAGAATGCGGGTGATATGTAGACATAATAACATTCTTTCTCAGAAAGTCAAGGTCATCTGGCCCTGCGGCTGCAATGAAGTCACTGGGAGGCAACTCCTGGTTTGGATAGTACCTAATTGGATCATGTGATGGACATATAGGTGCTGGGCAGGGACTTGGACTTTCTTTTTGGTGGTCAAAACCTGGAAGCTTTCAGATTTAGGTTTTCCCAGATGTGCCAATATGACATCTCTAATAAAATGGAACTTTGAGGAAACTCAAGCCTCGGAGTCTTCTTTCATTGGAGGTGTTACTTGGAATCCTGACACCCACCTTAAAAATAGTCAACCTTTAGAAAGGCTGGTCTGACCATATTTTGCTCTTTTCTTTGGGTGGAGTGGTAACTATGGTTACTAGCACATACTTTTATCTTTAAGATGTGAACCAAACTTTAATGATTTCATTTTTATTTGACTCAAATGAAAATTTCTCATAATTACCAATATTATTTCACCTGTAGGAGTTACGATGCGCAAAGTTTCAGAATCTGTTGGACCTGATTTGCAAAGCAAGCATAGCAAATGGGAGGAAAATCCAGAGCAGACCAAGACCAAGCAGCTTCATGATAAGTAAGTACTACCTGAACTCTTCAGAAAATCCACTGCATGTGACTTATGAGAATATAAACATCTTTGGCAAGACATAAGATCCAATGATACAAGACTTCGCAGATAAAACGTTGATGCGGTGTAGTCCAGCAACATTTGTTATAAAAGCGGAATAGTCATGGAAGATGTAAATTGGAAATAAATACTGTATTTGTAGTTGGGTAAATTGAATTCCATGCAAAGGAACCAGTTTTTCCAGAAAAAGATATATGCATTCATCATGTAGGATAGCATGCACTCAGCCTATACCAAATCTTGCTTATAGAAGAATTAGATAAAATCTTAATTTGCTTGAAACGTGTATAATAAATCTCACCTCTGTTACTTCTATATTTTAAAGAGGTAGTAGTTTTATGTTATAAGGGACGCAGTCGCTCAGAGGCTAAGACGCTGAGCTTGTCGATTTAGAAAGGTTGGCAGTTCGAATCCCTAGCGCCACGTAATGGAGTGAGCTCCCATTACTTGTCCCAGCTTCTGCCAACCTAGCAGTTTAAAAACATGTAAAAATGCAAGTAGAAAAATA